AAGAAGGATTTGCCCCCTGTGTCCTTGTAACTCAAAAGGCTGAACAGATTTCCTTCAGTTCCCTGAAAACAGTCACGACATGGCTGAGAACAGGCTGGAGCGCTGGGAGCCAGGACGGACGTCTGAGCAAGGAGCTACTGCAGGTCGGTGTTTGAAATGGGAAAGTGGCCAGAAAATGCTACACAGGCAGGGGCAGCTCCGGGGCGGGGCGGTGGCATAGTCACCCCCTCTTCAGTGGCCCAGATCTACTCTCGTGGTCCCTCTTTGGTGTCTGCCGACAGGCCGTTGCCGGCTGACATAGGGGGGCAGGACACTGGAGTTATTTGTCATGCGGGACAGTTCCCTCATGCTCTGAGAACAAGACTCACCCCCGCGACGCGGAGTAGCTCCTCTTGCTGGAAGTGGCAGGCGCAGACCAAGCAGGATGGCAGGGACCCCTGGAAGCTGTCCCCTCCTTACCCCTGCCCTGGCACCGGACCAACCCGCTCCTGACAGATGCTGGCAGTGAAGTCGTTCCCTCAAAATGAATGCCAACACTGGTCGAGGCCCAGGATGGGTTAAGCATTGCTGATCTTGGCGTTTAATGATTTGGGAGCATCATTGCTTTTTATTCTCAGTGTTCAGCTGACAGCAATCCGTTCCAGAAAGGGGTGGGCAGGAACTGGTGAGGCACTGCGGGCTGCAAGCGTGAGACAGCGTGACCATCTCATCTGCTTGCCACGAAGCAAGGAACAAAAGGCACCATCAGCTTCACATGGGCTGCAAAACTCCCGAGACCGGCCTGAACTCACAAAGCAACACGACTGGGCTTCCTTGCTTAGCTCTGGGGTCTCTGAGCCGGGAGACCACTTGCGGATCACGCTGGCAGGCTTCTCCTTGCAATCACGTGCGACACAAACTGAGCGTCTTGAAGGAAGTGGAAGCTGAAATGGTTTTCACCAAAGCATGTGGATGCAGGAGCTGTGCCTTTACACCAGACGGCATGAGACTCATCCAAAAAGCAGAAGAGCTGGCGGCCGGGTGCACACGGGGCCTTCAAGCTGCTAAAGACAGATCACAGAAGGGCTGTTCTGAGCTACAGCCTGGCAGTTTTAGATCGCGTGTATTATGGGCGAGCTGGCCACGACTCCACACTTGAGGTCAAAAGTCAAGTTCCCTTATGGTCTCACTTCCCTTCCAAGCTGACTTGGTCTCGTACCCAGACGTGACCCCTTATTCTCCCTCCTATCCACATGCAAAATCCCCTCACCCACATTTGTGGTCTTTCAGCCCAGACTGGGGCACAGCTGGGTGTTCACTTCAACCCAAGTGCCTTGAGGTGAGCCAGCAGCTCCGGCCGAAGCTCAGCCTTGTCAAGCCTCTGTGCACGTCCCTGCTTGCTCAGGTCCTGGACTCTGGTGTTCGCATTTTCCCCTTGTCTCTGGCAACTTTGCGTCTGACTGCTGCGTGTTGACTTGGCTTTTGACTTGGGCCCTGCCCCTGGATTTGCACCCTGGCTCTGGTAACGTGAGCTCTGATTCCTGCCCCCTCCCCTGGCCTGGGGTTTGGCTCTTGTCCTCCCCCAGTCTGGCCTGAAAATTAGGCCGGCTGCCTCCAGCCCGGTCCCTTACAAGTGGGGAACGGTGGTGTCTGCTCTGGGGGAATTGGGGTGTGGAGCTAACCCCAGGTTGGGCTGCGGATGCCTCTTCTTTCTGGGCTGGGGACATCTCTTGTTTTTGGGCTGATGGGTGAGTGGCGCACTGTCTGGTGTCCTGCAGGCTTCCAGAGGATGGTGGTGATCCAGCTGACGGCTTTTGGCCTAGCTCTCCTGTCTGCCCTCTTCCTGGTCACAGCCACCTGGACTGATTGCTGGATGGTTAATACTGATGACAGCTTGGAGGTGAGCAGAGCAAGCAGTCTTCAAATATGTGATCAGGGCAGATGCTGGCCAGGGTGGATGCTTCCTTTGTGACATGAGATTATGAGGCTTATTATGAGATTAATGGAAATAAGAGACAATACTTCCCATGTTGCAAGCGCAAGTTTATTACTTGCAGACTATTTCGCTATGTAACGGCAATGGTGGCTAGAGCGTCGAAGCACCGATTCCAGGCTTGCAGCTACCAACAATCCCCATACTTTAGCTGCAACAGCTAAGTGGCTCAGGCACTTCTCCAGGAGGCTAGAGACCCTCTCACTGCAAAGGAGTTTGTATCTGCACCCCTCCGGTTCCTTCACATGGGGCTCCGACCACCAGAAGACAGAGCTGTGCATTTGCCAGGCTACTCCCCGTGCTCCTCCTAAAGCTGAGCCCTTGGCCTTGTGCTCCACAGCATTGCATGGGTGGAGGGCACTGTAGCAGGGAAGTTCCTGCCTCGCTGCGAGCCCAGGGCCTGCTCCCTTCCAGGGCAGGAGAAACCCAATGTGCCATGCACCCTCTGGCTTGCTCCGGTACTCCTGGTCCCCTTCCTTGGCTGCCAGGTTGAAAAGATCACAAGCAATGGGTCTGGGTAATGCCTGACCTGGCCCTGAGGGGTACTTGCTTGTGCTGAGGAGCTGCAGAGCTCCAGGATGGAGCTGTGTTGGGCAGGGGAACCCAAGCCTTCTGTCTCAGGTGACGAGCGACTCCTGGGCGGTGATATCCCAGGTGAAGACACATTTTCATTTATGTCTCTAATATCTTCCTTCCTCTCTGAGGTCAGTCACAAATGCCGGGGGCTTTGGAGGGAATGTGTCACCAACATGCAGGACGGCATCAAGACCTGCGACCAGTACGATTCCATTCTAGCAGATCACCCACGTGAGTCCTGCCCCGTCCTGGGAAGGGAGGGTGCCTTGGCCCAACAGGAAGAGGGTCTTTTTAGAAAACCCTTATGGCAACACTTCACTGGCAGTGGGGGTTTCACATCCGGTTATACTATTTGCTTATCCACATTGTGACAACCAACATTTTTAAAAAATCCTTTGAACATTTCATTGAATGCATACAAAACAATTTCAGTTTCACTGAAGCAGCTTTAGAAACTTCTACAGGGGAGAAGCCTCTGCTGAACCGCCTGGTCTAGATGGTTTAAACGTAGTGGTTAGCACACGGACAGCAGAGCAGGCCGTGTCCATACGCACATGTCCATACGCCCCAGAGGACAAGCCAGTCCCGCGTAAGCTGCGTCACGTGTGCTGTCGTGCATCCCACCCACCCAATACTTGCCCCATATCTCCCTGGCAGGGGTGGCCTGTAGGCTTGTAAATAGGATGGGAAGGGATAACGTAGCAACTCCCTCAACGCTGTGCTGGTTGCATCCTATCCTGGCAGGCGCTGTGTGCTGTGATGTGGTCATTGTGACGATGAGTTTCTACCGTTGCTGGTGCTCTAGAGACCAGGGGCCCCGGCCACAGGCCCAGACCTCACTGCACCAGGTGCTGTACTACCAAGTCCCCAAAGAGCTCACAAGACGTGCTTGATAAAGAGCGGAGAGCCGCGCTTCCTGAGGGCTGGGGAGAATGGAGAAACAATGCAGGGCTGGTCCGCGGGGAAGGCGGCGTCTCCGCCACAGCACAGACATTGCCCCTTCCCCAGTAACACACCTGCCGGGAGCGTCTGGCGTCGGATCTGCACTGCCTCGTCAACTAACTGTCCAGCTCTTGCTCTGCTCTTCCTTCCCAGTGAAAATCGTGGTGACGCGGGCCCTGCTGATCGCAGCGGACCTGCTGGCGGGCTTTGCTCTGCTTACGCTGCTGTTCGGTCTCGACTGCGTGACGTTTCTGAAGGAGGAGCCCCGCGTCAAACTGAAGCTGTGCTACACGGCTGGTCTCCTTCTCGGGACTGGAAGTAAGCATCCGGAAGCCCTGGGCCTCGGCCTCCTCTGTAACGAAGCTCCCCAGAGGCAGGGCTGCCAGTGCTGGGTGGCCACAACGTGGGGGTGCAGGGGGTGCTTGCTAGGCTGTGTCTGGGCTCTGAGGGTATCCCCAGGGACGGCTCCTGCAGAAGTGGGGGAAGAGCCCCGGCCCCTTCCCCGTCTGAGCATCCTAGCCTTGCAGCCCCCGTCCCTGGCGCTCTGGCCCTGGCTCTCAGAGGGAGCCTCCAGCTCTGCTCCCTGAGTGGGACTTTACCTCCCGGTGCAGCCCCAAGCAGCACAGCAGAGTCTTTTGAGTAGAGCATTTACTGGGGCAAACCCCACCCCGCCACAGCTTCTCTGCCCCTTCCCAAGGGGTTCAGCGGTCCCTCTGTTCCCGGCCCAGCCCGCACAGCTCCAAGCACCCACAGACGGCCCCGCTCGTCTCACCCCCCAAACTCCTCTCCAGACTCACGACTTTTGAACCTTTGGAAACCGCAGCAGTGGGTGCCTGAAGCGCCTCGTCCCCTTGGGGAGCGGTGTGGGGCGGGGGACTGCGCTGGGCCGCTCTTCTCAGCAGCTGCGTTCCTTTGCTAGGCGTCCTCGGCCTGGTTGGCTCGGTGTGGTACGCGGTGGACGTCTACATGGAAAGGGCCACCCTGGTAGCGCACAGCGTGTTCCTAGGGGTGCACTACGACTTCGGCTGGTCCTGCTGGCTGGGCATGGCCGGGGCGACGGGCTGCCTCGTGGCCTCCGTTGTTCTCACCTGCTGCCTGTACACGTTCACAGGTGAGTAGGGCTTCAACTCCTCTCTCGCCTGTTCAAGCGCTTTGGGAATCGGTTGACCAAGAGTTGAAGCATTTTGCCCAGATTTTAGGAGCAAACTGTAACAAGCGTATCGATAAGGCCAGATAGCTTTTGAAGGCAGCTACATGGGAAAAGTGGTTGTGTTTAGGGTAGACTTAGCTGATGTGCCAGCTAAGCCGGATCTAAAAGCTGTGGCTGGGGTGATGTAGTTGGGGCTGGTCTGGCTTTGAGCAGGGGCTGGACTAGATGTGACCTCCTGAGTCCCTTCAACCCTCTTTTCTATGAGTCTAAAACAGGGGCAGGCAATTATTTTGGTTGGAGGGCCGTTTACCGAGTTTTGCCACACTGTTGAGGGCTGCACGGACAGTCCTGCCCCTTGACAGGTGCCCCACCCCCTGGTCGCCGTCTTGGGGCTGGAAGTCCTGCCCCCTAACCCCTGATATTAGCTACCAGAAGTCCCTCCCATTGCCTCCAGAAGTACTCCTCCAGTAAGGGGTTTTGCCATCTTGGAACCAGAAAAATACCAAAAATCAAACATCTACAACATTCATTATTTTGATTTCAAAAAACATTTTGTCCTGATTTACATGCATTTGTGG